AGTGTACTCCAATGACATACCAAAAAGGTTTAATTTGTTTGTTGTTGTTTCAGAAGAACAAGTCCATATGTATTTAATAAGTATAATGTGTGSAGCTTGATGGTAAATCTGATATTTTTGACATGAACTTGGCCTCCTTGGTCCCATTATAAGATTTCAAATGATTTTCCTTCCTCTGTTGTCAGAACATATTTTGAAACATCTTGTCAGAGAGCAGCAATGATTTCACAAGTGATCGGCAGATTGTAATTTTGCACGTTTGCCAAACATGAAGTGACCAAAATGTATGTTTAATTTAATAAATGAGGCTTGAGGCACACCTCAAATCAGGTAAACCTGTTTTCATGAGAACAAGAGGTTCTTAAGAGAGCACTACTTGCAGTGATTTCACCATAAGGGAACAAAGCCAGAGCTGATGTAATGTCCACACCTATTTGGCCAGTAAATTAGGAAATGTTGCTYACAAGATGCTTAATGAAAAGTCGTACATTTTCCTCTGTATGTTTGCCAATACACATGAGCGCTTTCTTATTGATCAAAAGATAAACAGGACAGACATAAACAGACCTAAAAAAAGACAACTAGATATTGGAGAATGATAAGTTAGGTTCAATCATTAAACCAAATTTGAATTCCCCTGAAAATGCACATTTTGAAAAAACAGTATTTGTAAAGATAATTGCTTCTTATAAGCTTTATTTCAACTAATGATATAAAATGTTTAGCAGCCTTGCTGAGTGGAAGAAATAAAAGAAAAATGAGCACGTTGAAAGGTCATGTGACATAAACCACTAAACCTTTTTGCTGCCATAGCAATTTTTTGTAGCTCTTATTTTCTGCTCACTTTACAGCACAACAAACCAGTTAAGGTTTGTTGGGACGAAAAACAGAGACATGAGTTAACAAGATGAACTTCAGATTCTATTTCTAAAAAAAAAGCAACAAAAATTCAAAAATTTAAAGTTCTAAGAACACATTTCTTAATTAGGTTAAGCTTAAATTGGGCAGAAACAACAAAATATATTTTTTGTCTTGCAAAAATTTGCATTGAAAAATTAGCAAAGATTTTACTGGAAAAAGTAGGGCACGGCCATTTTCTTTATTTGTTCACTTTTTTATTTTTATATCAGTTTTAAATTATGTAGAAATTAAGGATGACAATAGTTGCATCCTACAAGTAACAAACCAAGTGACAGAATTTGTGACATCTCAAGATAGAGACTTCTAGTAGTTCATAGTTTTTTTTTCCTGTGAATGTATTGTATTATTATGGGGTTTGAATTGACTATTTGGATCAGAAACTGGATCTGAATCATTTCTTTTCTTAGTACAATATCTAGAGATGTCTTTTGGTGTGAACTGATGCTATCAACTAAATTAATTAAACAGAATTAATTTTAGCAGAAAACAAGTTTTCAGGTTCTTTGTCAGTTGTGGTTCTTTTCTTTGTGATGGTTCTTTAATTCTTATTAAGAAACATATCTGCATTGCCAGCAGCTCAGTCAACAATAAACTGTGTCTGTGAAGCTGCTGTGCATCATGCAGAATGAGGTCGGTCCCCAAACGGCTAGAATGACTCCAKATCTCTCAGGAAACTATGTTGTGTGACGAGTGCTAGAATTTCACTGCACACTTTTGCATAAATATTAATAAATAAATATAAATATTTATGCATAAATATTCAGGTTGACCCTCTCCCTCAGAATGACAGAAGACTGTCAAAATTTTGTCATTTTTGTCAGTTGCATCACAACCATACACCAATGCTAAGTGGGGAATAAAACTCAGAGGAAGAAGCAGCGAGCACAGCACACAGGAAGGAGAGGCAGCCACCACATCGATGAATTCAGACACAGAAAAGATAAGAACAAGTTGGTAAAAATGTCTGATGACACCCTGGAGATCAACAGTCATACTCTGCAACCATTAGGTCACCAAAAGGAATTAACATAATATCTTCTAACTTTGTTTACTTCAGTATTCTATGATAATAATCAAACATTATTGCTGTTATTTCATCTGTTAAGTTGTTTCTTCCTAGGCCGCAGTTCGATGATCGACTTTGTTGTCGTTTCATCTGATCTGCGGCCACGTGTTTTGGACACTCGGGTGAAGAGAGGGGCGGAGCTGTCAACTGACCACTACCTGGTGGTGAGTTGGCTCCGTTGGTGGGGGAGGATACCGGTCAGACCTGGCAGACCGAAACGTATAGTGAGGGTCTGCTGGAAATGTCTGCCAGAGTCTCCCATCAGATGGAGCTTCAACTCATACCTCCGGGAAAACTTCGAACCTGTTCCGGGGGAGGTGGGGGACATTGAGTCCGAGTGGGCCATGTTCCATGCCTCCATTGTCGAGGCAGCTTACCTGAGCTGTGGCCGTAGGGTTGTCGGTGCTTGTCCTGGCGGCAACCCTCRAACCCGCTGGTGGACACCGGTGGTGAGGGTTGCTGTCAGGCTGAAGAAGGAGCCCTATCGGGTCTTTTTGGCCTGTGGGACTCCGGAAGCAGCCGACAGGTATCGGCAATCCAAGTGGTTTGCGGCTCGGGTGGTCCCTGAGGCAAAAACTTGTGCATGGGAGGAGTTCGGAGAGGCCATGGAAAAAGACTTCTGTACGGCTTCAGGGCGATTCTGGTCCACCATCCAGCGTCTCGGGGAGGGGGGGGGGTTCGCCACCAACACTATTTATGGTGGGGATGGTGCGCTGCTGACCTCATCTCGGGATGTTGTGGGTCAGTGGGCGGAGTACTTCGAGGACCTCCTCAATCCTACCGACACGTCTTCACATGAGGAAGCAGAGCCTGGGGACCCTGGATCGGACTCTCCAATCTCTGGTGCYGAGGTCGCTGAGGTGGTTGAAAAGCTCCTTGGTGGCAGGGTGCTGGGGGGTGGATGAGATTCACCCGGAGTTCCATAAGGCTCTGGATGTTGTGGGGTTGCATTGGTTGACGCGACTCTACAATATCGCGTGGACATCGGGGGCAGTTCCCCTGGATTGGCAGACCGGGGTGGTGGTCCCCCTATTTAAAAAGGGGGACCGCAGAGTGTGTTCCAACTATAGGGGGATCACGCTCCTGAGCCTCCCTGGTAAGGTCTATTTGGGGGTTCTGGAGAGGAGGGTCCGTCGGATAGTCGAATCTCAGATTCAGGAAGAGCAGTGTGGTTTTCATCCTGGTCGTGGAACAGTGGACCAGCTCTGCACCCTCAGCAGGGTCCTGGAGGGTGCATGGAAGTTCGCCCAACCAGTCTACATGTGTTTTGTGGACTTGGAGAAGGCGTTTGACCATGTCCCTCGGGTACTCCTGTGAGGGGTACTCCGGGAGTATGGGGTACCAGGCCCATTGATGCAGACTGTTAGGTCCCTGTATATGACTGGTGCCAGAGCTTGGTCTGCATTGCCGGTAATAAGTTGGACTCGTTTCCGGTGAGGGTTGGACTCCGCCAAGGTTGCCCTTTGTCACCGATTCTGTTCATAACTTTTATGGACAGAATTTCTAGGCGCAGCCAAGGTGTTGAGGGGATCCTTTTTGGTGACCTTAGGATCGCATCTCTGCTTTTTGCGGATGATGTAGTCCTATTGGCTTCATCAGATCGTGATCTCCAGCTCTCACTGGAGCAGTTCACAGCCGAGTGTGAAGCGGCTGGGATGAGGATCAGTGCCCCCAAATCCGAGACCATGGTCTTGAGCTGGAAACCGGTAGTATGCCACCTCCGGGTTGGGGAAGAGGTCCTGCCCCAAGTGGAGGAGTTCAAGTATCTTGGGGTCTTGTTCACGAATGAGGGAAGAATGGAGCAGGAGATCGACAGGCGAATTGGTGCTGCATCTGCAGTGATGCGGGTGCTGAACCGGTCTGTCGTGGTGAGGCGGGAGCTGAGCCAGAAGGCAAAGCTCTCGGTTTACCAGTCGGTCTACGTTCCTACCCTCATCTATGGTCACGAACTTTGGGTAGTGACCGAAAGAACGAGATTGTGGATACAAGCGGCCGAAATGAGTTTCCTCCACAGGGTGTCTGGGCTCTCTCTTAGAGATAGGGTGAGAAGCTCGGTCATCCGGGAGGGATTCAGAGTAGAGCCGCTGCTCCTCCACGTCGAGAGGAGCCAGTTGAGGTGGCTTGGGCATCTGGTTAGGATGCCTCCTGGACACCTCTCTGGTGAGGTGTTTCAGGCACGTCCCACTGGGAGGAGGCTCAGGGGAAGGCCCAGGACACGCTGGAGGGACTATGTTTCTATTAAGGTCACTTCTGCACTGTAATTGTTTTTTATGATTGCAGGCACAATAATAACCTTTTCTACAGCTAGCCAAACTTCACACACAAGCAAAACGTCAGCTCAAATCTGCACAACGGTAAACACGTCAGCCTGACTTTTTGCCAAATGCTACACGCCGTAATCTGCTAAACACGTGCATCTACTTTGCATCCAAACAGGTCATGATATCTCTTCTTTGCTATTTCAAATCTCTGAATTGGCCACATGTAAACTACTTGGTTAAACACACCCACCAGGTGTAAAAATATACTTAATTAAAAACTCATCAATTGGGCGAATAAGCATTATAAAAACAAAACAAAAAAATACTGGCGGAAATGGCTCTACAGTATATGCAAATTTTAAAAATAACAAAACACACGCACGTGTTTAAATTTGTGTAACTTTTCTGCACATGAGCCAGGCTCTTTGTCTGCTGAGTTTGATTGATTTTTGTGTTTGTTTTGGGGGGAAAAACGTGCCAAGTTTATATGGCCTTCATTTGCAAGTTGCATCGGGCCACACTATAACACAGTGTCTATAAAATGTTTTCACCCCCTTTGATGTTTTATTGTGATTAGAAATCAGTCATCGCTGCATAAAAAAACATGTAAAATAAATGACTGCATAAATATTCACCCGCTTTAAAGTAGTTATTCAGTTCAGAGGAAAACAAACAAGCCCTAAACATGTGCAAGAGTTCTGTTAGAGCCACCATCAGAAACTCAATTCCAAGTCCACTGTGACCACAGAGGAAGTRACAAAATTCAGCGAGATTGTCTGTGCATTAAAATACAATTCTTTTGCAGACAGCATAAGATTTTCCCTATGGTTTGAGACCACATCCCATAACCCCTAAAGGTACAAGTGACCTCCTTTTTTCAGTCATTAATAAAAGAGACAGACAGAATTTTRTGCCCCGTGGTTTGATGGTCAGGTTAAAAAAAAAAACAATGTACTGGTTTTCGGTCCTTCTGTCATGAAATCCTGGCCTCTTCCCAGCAGTGTCATGTACTCGTTGCTCCTTCACTCTTTGAACAGTTCCCTCTAATTCCAGAAGAGGGCAGCCATCATTTAAATGTATGTGTTAGTGTATCAAATTTCATGTTACATTTGTGTTTTTGACAACTCAGTAAAATTACAATCAATATTTGACAACAAAAAGCTTCATCACAAATTGCGATATCAGATGATACATAAGAATCAGAGCCTTCTTGTGTTGCAGAGTAAAGTGGTTGCAAATGGTTGCACATATGTGTCTCCAGCTGCTTAAACATTCAAGAAACAAACAAGCCTGACCTTCATTATAACAGTGTTCGAGATGAGGCCGGTTGGATAAACTGCTTCTATGACAAACACAGAGATAAGCTCTTAGAAATACTAAAAAAAGTTGTTCCGTCAGCATGAATTGGTTTATGGCTCACTTTAAAGCACAGCTATCTTTCCGACACATCCGTCAGCTGATAGYGCGATGATCATTTTATGTTTGTTTTCACTCCTAAATGGATTTTTTCTCTTCACTTCAGATGCTAACGTTTCTGTTTAGCTCCAGATTAAATATTGACCAGACGAGAAAGAGCAATCACATTATCGTCCTTGTTTCTTTTTCCACTGGAAGTTGCTGCTTTTGTCCTTTGATGTAAAATGGAATAGTCAGAATCAAAGATAATAGAAATTCTGTTTGTGAATACATGCAAAAAGTAATCATTTTGAATTTTGTTTTAGGATTTTTTTTTACACTCCATAAAGGAAATGGAAGCCAAAGACAACTCATCATGCCTGGGTACAGCACCTTGTTTAACAGCCTAAATGATACGTTGTGTTTTTTAGATGAGTGAGTCCTCAAACCTTTCCTGTTTTTGTATTTTTCCACAGAGAACGAGTCTTGTAAGGATCTGGAATGCTACATGGTCCTGACGAAAGCAGAAAGGACGGCGATCGGGTCCATTTGTTTCCTGGCYGGTCCTGTCACCTTGCTAGAAAACGTTGTGGTGTTTGTGGTCATCGCCACCACAGCCAGCCTGCGACAGAGGCCCTCCTATCTGTTCATAGGCAACCTGGCTTTAGCTGATGTCTTTGCCAGCTGCTTCTTCACCACCAGCTTCCTTGACTTTCACCTCTTTCGCCACAGTGACGGCCCCATTGCTTATCTCTTCAAGTTAGGCGGAGTCACCCTGGCGTTCACAAACTCAGTGGGGAGCTTACTGCTCACCGCTTTGGACCGCTACCTCTGCATCCACCACCCCACCAGTTACAAGGTTCTGCTGACACGCCGCAGAGCCCACCTGAGCCTTCTGGTCCTCTGGAGCACCACCATCTTCTTCTCCTTCTTGCCGCTCATGGGTTGGACGTGTCCCACGGGCCTCATTCCACCCTGCTCTCGCTTGTTCCCCTACGTCAGCCGGGGCTACCTGATCTTTTGGACCAGCTTCATCCTGGCGCTTCTGGCACTAATTCTGGGGGCTTACGCTCTCATCCTGTGGAGGGCCCACCGCCACGAGGCATCCCTGTCGAGCCTCCAGGGTGCAGAGGGCACAGGTCAGAACCGCATGAGGATGGATATCCGGCTGGCTCGCACCTTCGCCTTGATTCTGCTCATACTGGTGGGCTGCTGGCTTCCTACTCTCGCCTTCCTGATAGTTGACGTCTCCATCACCCTGACTCGCAACCAACAAAGAACATTTGCGTTTTGCAGCACCCTCTGTCTGCTCAACTCTGCGGTCAACCCACTGCTTTATGCCCTGCGGTGCAGAGAGCTGAGACAGGCTCTCCGACAGTCACTACAACGATTGTGGGAAATCGGAAAGTGCAAGAAGTTTAGACGAAACTCAAACCCCAGGCTGTATTCTGTAGAAAACAACTCTGTTACTGATGATGACTTGTCCAGGGCAAAAACCACCTGACTCAACTCTATTTCTGAAATGTGAACAATCAGTTGGCAGAAGTGTGGATCATAAAAAAAGAAAGAAAAGAATTAGCAATAAAAAWTAGGAAAATATGTTTATGGCAGAGTAAACGTGGTCAGAATATCACCTAGATCATCAATGCAGATTGAGTGAAATTATTGGTTATTTTTCTTAGAGGTGGGGTATTCTGTATTTTCCAGGCACATAGCCCCYATACCACAATCAAGTAACCATCGGTTGTTATGAAAATGCTGCATATATCCAAAATAAATTTGAATTTGCATCATAGYCTACACTGAAAAAAACTTGTAAGATTTACTTGAAAAAAATCCTCGTAACAATTTGCACTAACGTTTGTTAAGTAAATTTAAATGCTACAGATTCATGTAATATTTACTCATCATTATCTAGTCAAAGTTACTAAGAAAATAGTTAAAGAATTTACCTGATTTATTCACAAGATAATGATGAGTAAATATTACATGAATCTGTAGCATTTAAATTTACTTAACAAACGTTAGTGCAAATTGTTACGAGGATTTTTTTCAAGTAAATCTTACAAGTTTTTTTCAGTGTAGGCTATGA